GAAGTGTTCCTTTATGTGTTGATGTTGAATGTTTGTGATAAACTGAAGGATGAAGTGTTTTTTATGTGTTGATGTATAATGTTTGTGATAAACTGAAGGATGAAGTGTTTCTTTATGTGTAGATGTTGAATGTTTGTGATAAACTGAAGGATGAAGTGTTCCTTTATGTGTTGAGAAAATCCTCCTACTTCTTCAGATAAATAAATTCTTTAAAAAGCCTCTTGGATCAGCTGGAAAATGCATCATCACAAAGCTGAAAGGCTGTTTGTTCTTTTTAGAGATACGAGGTTCTTACAGGACAGAGATGCTACAAACGTAATGTTCTTATAGAATATGATGCATTGATGTAGACTAAACTAACCAACAGGATATAAAGGAGTTTAACACATCTACAGCTGTAAAATGCAACATAGCTGTGTCATTCACACTTTACAGTTATTCTTGGCCAGTGGAGGGGGCTGGTGTACAAAGGGAATGTGTCTCAGTTAAATAAAATTAAATGAAATAAATGGAACAACCTTGTGTTGAAAAATCTGTTTTATTTTAAGGCTTCCACCTGGTTCAGGCACATAAACCATTATTACAGTCTCATAACTCATTTATTCATTTATTTCATGATCACCTGAGATTCTTGACAATCTATGGCAATAAACAAGTTCCCTATAAAGCATTTCATGACCTGTTTCAAATTGTGGCAGTAAGCTGTTTTTGCATGTACAAAGGTAATTTATCCCAATTCCTGGCACCAAAGAATGTTAAGGAACAGGTACTCGTGTTGGCATTAAATTATATGAAATAAAGACTTTTTTCTGTTTTAGTTTTGACCATAAAATCCCATTTTAATGAGTTATTGACTTTAGAGTTATAAGTTATGTATACTTCAGATTTCTATGAAATTAAACCCTATTTTTGATTGATATTTTTACCAGTCAATATATTTACACATTGATCATTCATCAAATATGTGTGTACAACACAAGACAATTTTCATTTGGGGCATTATTGAGCTGTTACTGTGTTCAGACAGAACACAAGCTGAATTTCAGAGGAGCATAGCATTTAAAGTCAATGGAAATAAGGTTGTATTTCAGAGTTTGCTGTTCGTATATCAAACGACAAAAATGTCATGGATTATAACTTTACATAAGTGTTTTGAATCTCATCCAAAGCCAAAATGACTAAATCATCAATATAAAAATATAATTACAGCACAAGCAAATCCAAGTAATTGTCATATAAAGAAAAATGAAAGGGACCCACGATGCTTCCCTGTGGCACTCCAAATGTAATTTACAGGAGATAAATGTCCCCTCAAACCTCAACTCCCAGATTCATCAAGGATGCCATATATGGAGTAAAATCTCTTAATTAGTAATGTTAAAGAAGCCCAGTCCTGTGGCTGTAAGCTCCTGAGGTGTCTTTCCCTCTGGAGCAACCTGGTTGACGCGACCTCACCGCTAGGGGCCAACAAATTACACACTAGACCTTTAAGATACATTTCAAGTCAAATATGAGACATTTCAATGATTCATTTTCCAAACTTTCTTTGAGTTTAATGTCGTGGAGCACAACAGCAAGCTCCTAAATGACAGGTCTGCATCTTGGAAAACAAATATTTCATGATTAAATCCAAACTAAATGCAATTTCTATAGAATGAAATACTTATTGAGTAAATGTTGTTATTACATATCAGGCCCTATGAGAACAACCGAAAACTGGAATGTGAATATTAATAAATCACAACCGTTAATTAAGGCTGCTGCAGTCCAGCATCACAAAGCTAAAAACTTAATTTGAAGAGGAAGTAGATGATTGCTTTTTTAATGATTTCAATTAACAATTGGAGCAATGGGCTGCTTTTCTCAGCCTCGTGTCTGGCCCATATTTCCTGCTGCTTCCTCAGTTTTTCAAGTTCCTCTTTAATTTCTCTGTCATGAGATTCCTTTAACTTATCCTTCTCCATGTCATCCTTCACTTCCTTCATTTGTAGCTCAAACTTTTCCTCTAGTTTCTTCGTCAGCTCCTCCTCCTCTTTGCGCATTTGCTCTTCTGTCTCTTTAAGGATTCGTTGTTTTTCCTCTTCAACCGCCTTCTCTGCCCTCTGGAACATTTCAGTGGTGTAATGGCTTCCTCCGTTCTCCCTTATTATGTTTCTGATCTTGTGGAGCAGCTCGCTGACCTGCGACTGATCCTTCACCTCGTTATTGAAGACGTGGTAGTGGCCGTTACATTTGTCCACAAGTTCCATCAGGTCTTCGCTGTCCTTCAAGAACTCCTCAATAGGTTTCCCTTTGAGCAGGTCACCGTGGGTAAAGAGAACCATGCTGTATCTGTCTGCTCCCTCTCCAAACAGTCTCTGAATCTTCTGCACTGTATTCTTTTCTTCTTCTGTGTATCTGCCCAGTTTGATGACGACCAGGAAGACATGGGGTCCAGGAGAAGCATAATACATGCACCGGACTATTTGTTCAAAGGTTTTCTCTGCATCAGTCCTCGTGTCAAACAGACCCGGAGTGTCAATAACAGAAACCTTTTGCCCGTTCACTTCACCAAAGGCCTTTTTGCAGACTTTAGTCAACGAATTAGAGGATAACTCTGATTCAAATATCTTTTTTCCCAGAATGGTGTTTCCTGTGGTGCTCTTCCCAACTCCGGTCTTCCCCACCATCAGAATCCTGAACTCCTCAGTACTGTCGCAGGTTGTTTGGATCGAGGGTCTAGTGTCGCAGGTTGTTTGGATCGAGGGTCTACTGTCGCAGGTTGTTTGGATCGAGGTTCTACTGTCACAGGTTGCGGTAGGTTGAAACCAAAAGACTGAAAATAAAAGAACTGAAAGAACAATTAATAATCTGTCTTCAGAAAATATTGATCAATGCAGTTCCACAGAAGACCTTCCATAAAGAACTCTTCATGACTGTAAAAACAAGGATCCTCTGAAAGCCCCTCCTGCCTCCACTTTTACAACTTCAGTGTGAAATACATCATCAAACTAAACAATAAGATTCTGAAATTCAAAATTACATAACCACAAATTATATATGAAACATTTATAACAAAACACTGAGCACTACGGGACAATTTGATGGCTGATGTAAATTTTAATTTTATTTTAAGAAGTCCTCTCTCTCTCTCTCTCTCTCTCTCTCTCTCTCTCTCTCTCTCTCTCACTCACACACACACACACACACACACTTGACTATAGGTTTATTGCTTGTATCAACATATGTAACAATAATCTATAAATCAATGAATTGGTGTAAAAAGGTGAAGGAGAGGGATGACCCTCAGCTTCTGCTTCAGACACAATTAGTTTAACAATTTAACATTAAATTAAATTTAGGATGCCACCTAAAAAGACTTTGATAGAAAGAAACTGAACTTAACAAGGTCTGTCAGAAGCTGTTACTGCTCTACCACCCCATAGTGGGACTGAAAACATGAAGATCCGGCTGATTATGAACAGTGTATTTAGCTATATGATATATTTAAAGACAATGAAAGATAAAATGAAACATACAGTGCCCTCCAGAATCATTGGCACCCTTAGTGAATATGAGCAAAGCAGGCTGTGAGAAAATGTCTTTGCTGTTTATCCTCTTGGTCTTTCACTCAAAATATTCACAAAAATCTTACCTTTTCATTGAAAGAAAAAAAAAATGTTGACATTAAATAAATATTTTTCTCCAAAACATGTTTGCCACAATTATTGGCACCCCTCGAAAATCTCATGATTTAAATCTAGCTGAAGTATAATTCGTCATATTTTACATTTTTAAGTTCACCTGTTTGATTAGGAACTCTTCAGTGGTCAACCATGACTTCCTGTTTCACTGGGGTATAAATATGAGGTGACACAGGCCAAATTCCCTTAATCATTCATCACTATGGGAAAGACCCGAGAACACAGTGACGATGTGCGACGAAAAGTTGTTGAGCTGCGCAAATCAGAAAATGGATATAAGAAAATCTCTAAACAGTTGAAAATACCCATTTCCACTATCAGGGCAATAATTAAGAAGTTTAAAGCGACGGGAGATGTTAAGAATCAGCCTGGAAGAGGACGTATGTGTACATTGACCCCACGCACCCTGAGGAGGATGGTTCGACTGGCAAAAGAATCTCCAAGGATCACAGCTGGAGAACTGCAGAGGTTAGTTGTCTTGGGTTCTGAAAGTCTCCAAAACTACCATCAGACGCCACCTACATCACCACAAGTTGTTTGGGAGGGTTGCCAGAAAAAAGCCTCTGCTGTCAATCAACAACAAACTAAAGTGCCTACGTTACTGGGACTTTCAATGGGACCGAGTTATATGGTCAGATGAGACCAAAATAGAACTTTTTGGCAACAAACATCAAAGGTGGGTTTGGCGTAGACAGAAAGATAGCCATACAGAGAAGCACCTCATACCCACTGTGAAGTATGGTGGCGGATCTTTGACATTGTAGGGCTGTTTTTCTTCCAAAGGCCCTGGACATCTTGTTAGGATACATGGTATCAGGGACTCCATCAAATAAATGAAAACCTAACAGCCTCTGCCAGGTAGCTTAAAATGGGCCGTGGTTGAACCTTCCAACAGGACAATGATCCGAAGCACACCTCAAAATCTACACAAAAATCGTTCAACGACCACAGAATACAGGTTTTGCCATGGCCATCACAGTCCCCCGACCAAAACCCCATAGAACATCTGTGGGATGAGCTGAAGAGGAGAGTCCACAAGCGTCGACCTCGGAATCTGAAGGATCTAGAGCAGGGGTCTTCAACGTTTTTAGGCCAAGGACCCCCAAACTGATAGAGAGATGGAGCAGGGACCCCCGACTATATATATTGTATAAAATTGTGTTTTATATTCAACTAGGCCTAGTACCATGAATACCTCTTTATTGTGCATTCAATACTAAGCTATTCAAATAATACACAGGTTTATATGTTTTTATTTTAAACATGTGCAAGGTACAGTGAGTAGGGGGGCCGTGCCACTGCCATTTATAAACATACCTTGTCAACTGATACCAATGCCAACATCAACATTGTCTGT